TATTTAATTAGTGTATGAATAGAGTTTATATTTTTAGCTGTATATTTTCTTTTATATTTGTCTAATCCGTTAAAAATCCTTCTATGAACTAACATAAATCCTCATTGGCACCTATGTGGCAGCAAATTAGTTGCCACATAGGTACCACGTGGTCAATTTAACTAATATTATAAAATTTAAACTTCCAATTATTAAAATTAATTTTTTAATTAACTAAAGGGGAGCCCATCTAACTTTTTTCATAATCAAGTCTCCTTCAAACTTATCTTAGTAAGGTTTCAATTTTTTTTTTTTTTATAATTGATCTTACCTGAAATTTAACTAGTGTAATTAAATTAATACTTGTTTTAATTGAATTAAATTAATAAATTTGAAACTGATTTTCATAAAAAAAAATTTGGAACTGAAAAAAAAAAAACCTAAAAGATGTAAAAATTTGTTTGGGAACTTAATTGAATAAAATTAAAAGCTTAAATTTTAAAACATTGATTGTTGTCCGGCACCATATAGACTAGTGCCCCATCCCCTTTTCTGGGAACACATGCCTGAACATAAAAGTTCTAAGATTTGTTCTCAAGTACTATTCTTTAATTTCTTTCTAACCCAATAATTTTCTTAAGTAAAAAAAAAAAAAATTGATTGTTTAGTCAATTAGCACCTATGTGACAGCTCATCTATATGGCTGCCGGATTTCTGTTAGTCCCATGCAGGCAACTTAAATGGATTAGATATTGATGCAATTTTGAAATCAATACATTTGTTGGATAGAAAATAGTTAATTGAAAAATAGTTAAAAATTTAGAAAATAATTAAAAAATTATTTATTAAATTTAATCCTGGAGGCTAAAGGTTCTTCGACGATAGTTCACGAATGGTGAAAGTCTAAACTTTTTTTTTATTAAAATATAATGTCTTAAATTTCACATCAATAAAATTAATAAATAAATTTAATATATAAATATAAAGGTTAATCAGTATTAATAAATTAAAATTGAATATCTAAGAGAATATGAAATCGTAACTCGAACATGAGAAAAAAGAGGTCTTTCTCTTCCCGTCCGGGATCATATCCGGTGCGCTCCCATCGTGTGGGACATCATGTGTGAATTTTTTATTTTTTACAAACTACATAACTAGAGACCGGATCCGGTGCGTCCACCCGCATCATATCCGGTGCGTCCCTCTCCCGTGGGACCTCAAATGTGAATTTTTTTTCTCTACGTAACTGGAGACCGGATCCGGTGTGTCCACCCGCATCATATCCGGTGCGTCCCTATCCCGCGGGACATCAGATTCAAATGTCAATATTGTTTTCAAATGTAAGGAGACATTAGTTGTATTGTCCATAAATTTTCTTAGACAGAATTTGGCCGTTGGTTTAGAGGCTCTGTTGTACATTTCAGGCTCTATCTATCAAAAGAAGCTGCTCTATTGTGG